AGGAGACCGGCGAGAAGGAAAAGGAGGTTTTGAGGCAGCGGCTGGAGGCTCCGCCGTGTCGGCAGGATAACCTGTACCTGCAGGAGAGCCGCCGACTCTCCATGGAGTTCGAGAGCTTCGTGGCGGAGAGCCGGCGGGGTCTGGAGGAGCACTACGAACCCCAACTGCTGCGGCTGTTGGAGAGACGGGAGGCGGGGGCGAAGGCGCTGCAGGAGATGCAGGGGGAGATCCAGGGGATGAAGGAAGCCCTGCGGCCCTTGCAGGGGGAGGTCAGCCGGCTGCGGCTGCAGAACCGGAGCCTGGAGGAGCAGATCGTCCTCGCCAAGCAGAAGCGGGATGAAGAGGTCAGGCAGTACCGGGTACGTGCCCCGGCTGGGGACCCCCCACACCCTCTTCTTCGGAGAGTGGGAGATGTTCTTTGCAGCCGGGGAAATGTGGATGCTGAAGGTGTTGCTTGTAGGGCCAAGGGGAGGAGGGGGTGGATGAGGAGGTGGAATATCTCCTGGTGGTTGAAATCAAAAGCATCCCCCGCCCGGCCACGGGCCAGGTGACGCAGCATCCCCTGGGCGAAGGGCAAACCTGATGTTACTGGGACACGGTGGGAAAGGGCTGGGGCTTCACCCGATGAGCTGCTGGAAAAAAGCAAGCTTTCTCCTGATTATATTCTCACCTGGGTTTGATCTACCCCTCAGAAATGGTCGCAGCGAGCAGGGAGAAGGCAGAGGGGATGGGGGGTTTCCTTCCCAGAGGATTCCTTCCCAGGGTTTCCTTCCCTTTCTTTCGACGCCCAGCCCTGCCGGGGCAGATCCTGCCCTTCCCACTGCCAGGAGGGTCTCACCTCCTGCGCCCACAGCCCCGGCTGCCTCCTGAGAGGGTTATTTCTGGCTGCGCCAGGCATCGCCCCCCCTCCGCCACCTCCTCCTGAGGGACAAGGCAATTCAATATCTGCAAAGAGCACATTTGGCAAAGAGGCTCCGCAATTAATCTCCCCCATTTCAACACTCCCTGTTCTCGGCTCGTAATCGCCGCCTCCTCCCAGCCTGGCTCTGAGCAGCTTCTCGAAGCTGGCACGTCCCTTCCATCGCTTCTCCTCCCTGCTGAGCTGGGGACCAGGTCACCAGCGCCCGCAACACTGCTCGTCTTGGATTTCAGGGTCCGCTGTCCCTTGGAGGACAGGACTTCAGGGCATCCCTGATGCGCCTCCACATTTTCTTTTTCCCAAATTCCTTTTTTTTATCTTCTCCTGACTCATAGGTTTATACAGTCCTGACAGCTTCTCCAAACACACACACAAAGTAGTCTACGGGACAAAACCAACCACCCGAGTGAAGCCTAAGGATCCAACACGTCACATCCCAGCCCAAGCTTCCACCTTTGTAACGAAACAAAGATTTTTTTCGGAGGTTTTTTAAGGCGGTGGTTGGCCAGCCATCAGCCTGGCTGGGCTTTGTCCAGACCAACACCATCGACAGGCAGATTCCCCCAGGAGAGCGTGGGCAGCAGCTGAGCGCAGGCACTGGGACAGCCTTCCTCCCCCAGCTAATCCACTCTCGTCTTCTCCCTCCCCAGGAACAGGTTGAGGAGCTGGAAGACAGGCTGAAGGAGCTGAAGAACGGGGTGCAGCTCCAGCAGCGCAAGAATCAGGAACTGGAGGAGCTGAGGACCAGCCTCCACCGGGAACTCTCCATCTACAAGTCCGTTGGTGTCTCGTCCCTGTGGTGCGGAGGGGGTGGGGAGGGCCTGGGAGGAGGAGGAGGAGGATGGTGGAGAAGAGACTGGTGGTCACACGGCTATGGGACACCGTGGGCTTTTTGCTCCTGGTTTCAGGGCACGGAACCAGTGTGGGAGCATGGGATCTGGTGGGGCGGCACAGCGGGAACTCCAGATCCTTTGCCATCCAGCAAATAGGGATTTGCTGGAAACTCCTGGACGCAAAGGAGGGGAGGTCGCTTCCCAGGAAGCAGGCATGGCAACGGTTTCCTTAGGAGTACGTGGAAAGGAGCTGAGGTTTAGGTTTGGGAAACACCGTTGTGGGTGCTCTTCAATGAGAGCAAACTGTCTTCTGCTTATCGCTCCCTACTGCTGGTTTCACTCAGGTTTTCTTTAATACACAGGATTTTTTAAAGCTCCAGAAAATGTCCGTAAGTTTGTAGACGATTTTACTCACCAAACTTGGCGCTGTTATGTGTTACTCCAATCGCAGTGTACACACTCAGCCATTTTCTGTAGCTTCACTGTTACTTTAGTACTTTTTCCCCCTTCTCCGCTCAAACCTCCTCACGCAAGCGCACCATGGGAGGACATTCCCTTCCACAAATAGGTACAGTTTTCTTTTATCCAGGTAAGACTTTAGCATGGTAAGCACAGGGGAAGACATCTCTGTTTCAGCCTGTCATGTCACCGGCCATTTATTAAGAAGAGTAACTGCATTCACGATTCAGACCGGATCCTGACAACCCCATCTTTGCTGCTCAGGGTCCTTCGAAGTCATGGGTCTAAATCACAGACCAATACTTAAGCCTTAAATACACAGCGCAGTCTCTTAACTCCTGGCAATCTACAAATTGCCGTTCCCGGGAAGCGACAGCCTGCAATGCTTCTCGTGTATCAGGACACCTCGTTAAGTTTCACATTCGCACCGGGGACCTCAGAGTTAAGTACGGCTCTGAGCTGCCGTCTCCCGCAGCTCACACCAAAAATTACATTCCCTTCTGTTAAAGCTGGTTTGTTTGCCAAGGGCTCTGGAGGGGCTGGGCTAGGTCCACACGCTCACAAGACCACGTAGCGAGCCAGTTTAAGTGTTTCCTAATTACTTTTCTTCCATACTTTGTAAAGAAATACTTTTCAGAAATAGCATCCGTCCTCCCTCCCCGTTTCCTCCAGCCAGAGTACTTCACGTCAATATTCTGTCGCCTAAATTTACTTTCTACCCATGCAGGGGCTGCTTAGAAATCTACGGCCACCTTTGCAAATCGGAAGAAAAAGCAGACGAGGATTGTTAAGAATGATGGACTTTTCCTCTTTGTAGCAAAAGTAAAGGACAGAGGCACCTGCAGAGGACGTCTCCTCTTGCCGCTTGTCCTACGCGATGCGCAGCAGCTGCCCGAAGTCAGGAATACCGAGCGTTCGCTTGTGCGTATTTCTCAAGGCGCCGCCGTCGATCTTGTAGTAAAACTGCTTTTCCACAGAGAGGCAGAGAAAATACTTGCACTGAACAATGGACATCTATAAAGAATGTTTTGATGTATGTTTTGCCGTGTTTGGAAAATGTATCTTGTCTCGTTCCCTAGGTGGGTTGTATAAGCCTACACAGAAAGGATTGTTCTGGAAGCCAGTGTTAGGGGGGGGGGTGATTTTAAAAGTTTACATGCAAGAGAAGCTTTATCCTTTTAACAGGATTTTCTTTTGTATTTCAAGGGTCTCTGCTGTATTGTGACATGCTCCACCGTGGGCCACAGAAACTAGTTTGTGGATAATAGGTTTCCACTTTATTATATAAAGTCTCACACTGAAAATAAAAATGGGAGTTGAAGGATCCGTTTCATTCTCAAAGCTGCGTCTCAAAGAGAAAATAAGAGGCTTGTGTTTCAAACCAAGGTACTTGTAAGGTATCCGACTATTTATTACGCAGACTCACAAGAAAAAATAGCGCTAAAGCAGACCCAAAATCTAGACAGCAGCACACTTCAGGTGGAAGGCACACCTCAGCGCACTCTTGACTGCTTGGGGATATTAAGTACTCATTTACTCCTCTGACAAAGCAAGCGTGGCCGTGTTACAAACGTAAGGAGTATCTATACCGGCACCCAGTCTCCCAGGACGCAGACGGGTAGAGACTATGCCCTTGCTTACTCCGCCGTCTGAAGAGGTACGGCTCACCCTCGAGAAAGCGGTTAACGCAGAGGGAAAACATCAGCACAAAAATCACAGAGCTACACAGCATTTACGTAGAAAAAATTTATTCCATCTGAAGCACTTACACACAATTAGTCATGAGGAGCACGGAGAGTAACAGGTTGCTGGTGGAACAGGACACCCTAGTGGAAGATGTGCAGGAACTAGTGGTCAAGGACTAACTCCTAAAAAAAGTAGTTCATCCACATTTAATTTGCTTTTCAGATACCAGCTACCAACGCTGTTGTAGGTTACCGGGCATGCCATCTGGGGTACATCAGTTGGTAAAAACATACACCTTTACAACTTGGTGGCCCCAAGTTTTAAAAACCATTTCACAGAAAGGAAAGAAATATATGTGAAAACACAGCTCAAGAAACACACAATAGAGCAAAAAACATTAAAGGTGAACAATGTTCTGCAAGAATAGCTAACGAATCCAAACCGCTGTTGCCCAGCAGACGGGAGAAAAGGGCAAGGAAGGAAGGAAGGAATGGAAAACCCAGAATTACCAGTAGAGACAAAAAATATAGAAAGGAATTTTAATTTCAGTTTAAGTTAGAATCCGCAAGTCTGTTTTGTATCTGCAGAGGCAGAAAAAATCCACAAGGTACAGATTAACTAAAGGAATCTCAAGATTCTGGAGTTGTACTGAGAGGACAAGACCTTCCACACTCCATTTCTGAACTGCCAGTGGATTAACACTTGTATCATCTCCGCTGGCTCACGCGTACTTTGGCAGCTCTACCGATTTAACTTTTACTTAAATTAGGCAAAAGCCCAGAGCTGTAGCAAGCTAAAGACAGAAGAAGAAAAAAAGACCCAACAAAACCAAGTTTGCTCTATGCGATGAAGGCAGCTAAAATGAGACAGCCAGCCCTAGAGGTAAGAGGTTGCTGTAGGAAATCTGACCGAGGAGCTACAGCACGGTACCAGCTGAGCGGGGCGAAGCCCTTTTCTTCGGGAGTATTCACTGTCTGGGTTAAAAAGCCTGTTGATGGTATCTACAGAAGGATGGCTGAACACAAAGTCTACGTGTGTCTCAAAACCAGTGTTAAGTCAATATCGGGGTTGAGAGGGAAGAGAAGGAAAAAGACTAAAAACAGGAAAAGGTCATCATCTAGGATCCTTGACCTTCTGGATCCACGCTTCCTTCAGGGTCTTCATCATTATATATGTTCTCCGCCTGCAAGACAGAGATGGAGGAACTGAAGAAGCATTTTGCCACCACATTAAACAGGATTCCGTCTGCTAGAACACTTCAAAAAGTTGTGGCAGTTTTTCATCTGTAGATATGCATCACCCATCCCTGATCCCCTGTCCTGGTTTCTAAACCACGACATCCCTCAAGGCCATTTCAATTAAAGAAGGAATACAAACAACCTTTTTTTCGTAACAGCCGTGTCTCCAAAACATTGCATAAATACCCTGCAAGTTACTGTAGCTTATGGAAATCTGCATTCTTGAAGTAGACACCATTGCAAGACTTACTTCAATTAACAGACTATTTTATATACATTTAGTAGATCCTCTACTTAGCAGCAGCACCTTCCAAAAGAACTATACGGCAGGCTTGTAAGAACAAAGCCCCTGTGAACCAATTCGTAGATAAACAAAAATTAGGAGAATGGTCTTGTCAAAGGTTATTCAAACTATACCAGTCTGTTTTCCAAAATCTTCAACAGCTGGTAATTCAGGGTCAGCAAACCTTTCCTACTCACCACGCCCCCTCTCCATCTTCATCAGGGCATTCGTGTCATTTGCAAAGATTTCATTCTTTAAGACAGTGACTAACAGAAACCTCAATTTCACCTTTGGTCCTCACACATGCTGTTTTCATCCAAACATAGAAGGGAAAAATATTGCTTCTACACCTGTACTTTTTTTTTTTTTTTTTAAATAATGAGAAACACAAAACAACTTCTGAGTATTTGTAAACCATTGTTTTGACCAGACCTGAAGTGGATTTCACTACCCCTTTGAGATTTCAGCAGTGCTACAAAGCAAGTCATGCTGAGAGCTGTAAATAAAACCAGGAATGCTGAAATCCAAGGCAGTTCAACACCATCTCTCATCCGCCACTTCCTGCACCTTCCCAAACAACTTACCATTTGCCAGACTTGCATGATATTATCTTCTGATACAGAACAAATTACCCAGGGTTCATTGGGATTCCAGGAGAAATCGGATATCTTCGCAGTATGACCACCATGAATAAACTAGTATTGGGAGGGAAAAAAAAAAGGGGGGGAATGTTTTCAAATCTACACCGCAAAAACGAATAACAGATCAGAAGAGTCGATGAGATTCAAAAGACTTACCAACAGCTCTGGGGGACCATCCTCAGCATCTTCAGGGGATTGCTCTTCTCCAATTTTACTGTAAAAAAAGGGAGGAAAAAGGAAAAGGTGGGGGTTGGTTGGTTTGTCAAAGTGTGATGCAATTCATCACTAATATTTTGTTAGCACAACATGACTAATTTGGGATTTACCTCAAGTCCCAAACATTTAGCCTGCGGTCAGTGCCACTGGAGGCCAATATGGTTTCATTATGGGGAGACCACTGAACCTACAGACAAGGGTGAATTTAGAAAGGGGGTTAGTTTTAAGAAGCTGTAACACGACATTCACAACAAACACCACTGTACTTTGTTTCCCCAAAAGCTCTAGGAGAATTCAAATTGATATTAACTTGAAACATAAATATGCCCTATAATAACAAGCTAACACAGGAGTTAGATTTGTGAACGTTCATATACTAACAAGGCATTTAAGCACCAAAAGGTACCACACGTAACCTTTCCTCTAACAAAGACCACGTGTTATGAAGTGCAAAGCAGCTCTCAAGGGTATTAGCTGCTCTTTACCTTAATAAGGATTGCACAAATATAAACTACAGATTGCTTAAGTAGTAGGTACGGTTTATACATGAAAAGAAATCACTGTAATTAAGCTTAACTGCCCAAAAGCTCACATTTACTACTTCTGCTGGAGATAAATCTCTCCAAAACATACAACTTAATAGGATCACAGGATTAGAAAAGAACACATAATTCTGCACACTAACCTGACATTTCAAGATTCCATGTGTAATTTTATTTAGAGGTAACTACAGTCTTAACGAGTAATCCTTCTACAAAAAAAATCTCTACATATTTTTCTTCTGAGTAGGGCATGAGTTGGAGATGGAAATATTTTATCTGCTAAGCACATGCTACCCGTGATGTTAAATTCTATATTTACACTAGCAAAATTAGCAATTGTTCATTGTCACAGGATGTTCCGGTGATCTCCTTTAATGGGTACTGGCTAAAGCCTTCCTACAGGACCAAGCTGAGATGAAAACACTGCAGCCATTTCAGTGTGCCTCCCCGCTTCAATCTGCCGCCATGAATAATTTACATTTACTCTGTACTGCTAGTGTTTCACCCTTCTGTTGTGGTTAAAGCTCTCGATCGTTTCCTCGTTGTGTTCTGCCCCGGCTTTCTGGACACTCCTATCTGTACTGCAGCTCTACCCCACGCAGAGCGCTGTACAGCTCCACAACAATAAGCCAGAAAATTATAAGAAGATGAGCGAAAAGAACATGTGAGTTTTTAAGTGCAAGTACATTTCATAAAAAAACATAGACTGGAAAAGAATCTTTTTCATTTTTTCCAGACAGCTAAGTAGAACTAAGTCTATGTGCATTAAAGACATTTTGTTATACCTGAAATATTTCATCTTTATGTGATTCAAAGGAGTGCAACTTCAGTTTTAGGTTCCTCAAGTCCCATAGAGCAACAGTCTAGGAAAAAAACATAAAACATTTTTTTGCTGAAGCCACCAAAATATACATCCACACTTACACATCAGAAACTAAGCAAGTACGATCCAAGTTCAAGGTAGACATACCTTATCAGCTGATCCTGTAGCCAGGATAAACTCACTATAGGGATTGAAAGAGAGGCAGTTGACTTCAGCTGTGTGAGCATCCACTGAGTGACTAGGTTTGGAGGTGTTGTTCGACCGAGTATCCCAGCTGGAAGGGGAAAACAAGGAATTGAAACAAAGGTTTAGATCCCATTTCACTGAGGCACTAAGGAGCAGAAGGGAAAGCAAGAGCGACA